GCTGGTGTTGAGCGTTTGGCCGGGGCGTTAGCGCTGACAACATGATTATTGTTGCTTCTCCAGGGCTGTTTTGATTCTTGTTTCTTAACTTGCTCTTACGGGGGAGAGTAGGGAAGTGGGGGAGGTCACTTCTCGGTGCTAACGTGGTGTTATTCGTGTATAGATAGCTGAGGTGTGCCTCGCCAGGGTTATGGCAGGGGTTTAATATCGTGGGTGCAGTCGCTTAAAACTTCCATTACAAGATGAAGGTAAATTAGTGTGAGAAGACAGCTGATGTTCTTGAAACAAAAATAATGGTAGAAGTGCATGATGAAACCATGGTAAGGTGGTGGATGGGTTTTTCTGGAGGGTGACAGACTTCTCTTGATGATTTGTGTTAAATCACAGATTCATAGGCTGCGTTGTGTTTGAAGGGACCTTTAAAGCCTATCTAGTCCAACCCCCTGCGGTGAGCAGGGACATCTTTAACATAGATCAGGCTGCTCAGAGCCCCATCCAGCCTGACCTTGAATGTCTCCAGGGATGGGGCCTCCATCACCTCTCTGGGCAACCTGTGCTGGTGTTTCACCACCCTCATTGGGTCTAAATCTACTCTATTTCAGTCTGAAATTGTTACCCCTTGTCCTGTCACTACACTCCCTGATAAAGAGGCCCTCCCCTTCTTTCTCATGGGCCCCCTTTAAGTACTGGAAGGCTGCCATAAGGTTTCCCTGGAGCTTCTCCAGGCTGAAGAGCCCCAAATCTCTCAGCCTGTCTTTGTAGGAGAGGTGTTCCAGCTCTCCAGTCATTTTTGTGGCCCTCTTGTATCCATTTTGTGACCCTCCGTATCCGTTTTGTGTTGAGAACTCCAGAGCTGGACGCAGTACTCCAGGTGAGATCTTACCAGAGCAGAGTAGAGGGGAAAATCATCTTTGATTTTTATTAAGTGATTTTAAATTATGTCATTTTAATGATGATCCATAGCAGATGGGAATCAGTGGATGCAGAATTGAAAAAACAAGCCATTTTTCCCTGGGAGGAAAGGCTATCATGAAGTTATCTCTTCGGGATCTGTTCTGCAAAGCTTCCTGTGCAGATGCAAGGCCTGGGTCATGCTGTTTACATCTGGAGTGGATAGAGCTCACATAACTTGTTAATCCCAGAGCAACGGCCAAGAAACAGGCCTGAGTTTCCAACCTCACCAGCAGCCTGTGTCTTGCTTCAGTCCTTCGCTCTGTTCCTTATGGACTGTGTTTCACTACACTGGAAACCTCCTCTGGAGGATGACAAACCACTGACTTTTGTCTTTAGAAACGTGTGAAAACCAGCTTAGGGGCCTGTTGGTTGGTCAGCATGTCCTCACAGGGGGAAGAGTTACAGACAGGACTGTAGTTTGCTGTGCTTTGCATAAGATTATAGTCAGGTTAAAGTTGTTATGCTCCGTTTCAGTATACCGTAGAAAGCATGCCCAAGTGAGAAGTATGTGGATGTTTGTATGTCTCCTGTATTTTATTATGAGCTGCTTTGGGAAGGCAGAGAAGAATTGACAACTGTTTATGAGAAATAAGCTTCACAAAAAGTGTCTTCCATCTCAGCATGCTTTTGCTATGCTCCTTGTTCATATTTGCTATGAAACTAGGTATTTGACAAGTCCAGAGCAGGTATATTGCTTTGGTTTGGTGTATTATCCAGCTTGCTTCTGTTGCTTAAAAGAGGTGCTCTGATCCAATAAACCATCTTACTGTTTTCTTTTATGACTTTAACTCTCTAGTTGTAAAGATTCTTAGGTTTTATTGTGGTTCAGAGAATGATAACAGTTTCTTCTTTTTTTCCCAAGAATTAAAAGGAATACACTTCTATATTTGTGTTGTCTGATACCTGAAGGGGTTTTAATTCTCAGGAGCTACAGAGCTCTAAATTCACCTCTTCACTCATTTAAGTAGTGTTTAAATTTTTATAGCGCCTGGGCTGACGCGTGTTACCTACAGTAACTCGTCATGGATCAAGAAGCAGTAAGGTTTATGTGGCAAGATGTACTTACAGGCCAGTGTACAATCAGGAATGATGTGAGGTCAGTTTGTGGTCACTGAAGCCATGACCATCAGCATCCTGGTTTTCAGAGTCAGTACGTGCGTCTAAACACCTCGTCTGCTGTCATGAAGTTAGTATGCGATGTAAAGAGCTTGCTGTGTATCAACAGAACCCCTGTTGATCCAGCCAAGAAATGCTTCAGTGGTAAGAGAGTGGAAACTTCACCCAAGAGTGTAAGCAAATAGGATTGGTTGGTCTCTGAGGATGCTTTTACTCAGTGGAAATAACACAAGCAAGAACAGCAAATTCTTTTAACAGCCTTCCATAACTCTCGGGATTTCTTTGAGAATGTGCTGTATAATCCTAGCTTCTATACTAGCATGCAGTAGGTAAAAATAGGACGGTTAATTTAGTGTGGGGTTTTTTTTTTTTAAACAGTAATGTCCTTTTGTATACCATGGAGTGCCTCAGATTTTTCTTTATTTTTATTAAGGTGAGAAACTGATAGGAAGAGACAAGGCGGTGACTTCAAGAGGTTACAGCGGAAGTGAGTTGTGTGGATTACTCCAGAGGAGGAGGGCTTAGGTATTTGTACCATGGAATTAGAAAAGAACAGCGATGCTAAAAGCGAAAGGAGATGCTTCGATCAGAACTCTCATTTTTCATCTTATTCCAAGGAAGCTGAGGACGTGCTTGTCAGAGATGTTGCAGCAGAAACTAACCTCTCTGGTTTTGTCCAGGCATGTTCTGCGAGTGTTTCGGAATTAAAATTTCCAGAGGAAAGCTTACCTTATTTAAATTCATCTTTGGATGCAGATATTGAAATGTATGATAAAAACAGAATGAGAATTTGCTGTGCACAGGTAGAAGAAAGCAAGAAAGAAGCTGATGTGTTGGAAGGGGCACGTGGCAATGGGCACTGTAATTGCAAGGTGTGTGGTGATTGCAGACAAAGCCATTTAGGTGAAGATTCACAGCTGGAGTATTTCAGTGCTCACGAGCAAGATTTGTGTGATAGGAATAGATCAAGTGAGTTTTCTGAGCAGAGGGAAACTATAGGAACCGAAACCTTGAGGCTGAAAGATCCAGATGGTCAAGTTCCAAGGGGTGGAGTCACACAGGAGCAAATTCTCCTTGATGGGTCAGAAGATTGTTCTCTGGCTTCTGAATATAGAGCAGGTGATCAAACCTGCCCAGAAGCAGGTATGCCAGAGCTCCCACACCTGCTTCAGGACTCTCTGTCTCTGCCAGATTGCAGCGGCATGACTTGTGATCATCAGGAAGAGCAAACAGAGTATCATAGTGTTGTTTGTGGAGGTGTACTTGAAAGTTGTTCTTGTGGGAGTAAAGAAAGGGTCTGTCCAAATAATTTTGCATGTGATGGATTAGAAAACGGAGAGGTAAAAGACATACCACTGATTGACAGCACGCTGCCCCCCCACATCGCTACCAGTGGAGAAGCGTCTGAAAAGAATGACACACACATTCACAACATCTCAGTGAGCCAAGTCAATCCTTTACTGTCAGCGAGGGAAAGGGCCCCTGCAGTAGCCATGCAATTTTGCAGTCACGTGGGGGACCCTGATTTCTACTGTTGCGAAGAATCCGGGGTGTGCGCACATGGTGCCAGCTGTGTTGACCGCAATACAACGGATGCTGAAACCCAGTTTCCGGTCTCTGAAGTTCTCACTAGCGAGAATCCTTTTTTTGGGGTGGAAATTGCAGATAAATCATCCCCCGGAAATACCAGCCTGAACTCTGAGTTGGATCGTCGTGAAACCTTGGAAAATGTTGCTCGTGACTCTACAGTTAACCAGGCTGTTGGTGCAAGCTCTGATTTTAGAGCTTGCTTTACAGCAAACAGAAGTACCAGTGCTCAGGTTTGTCTCTCATCCAAGGCTATTAATACTGATATAACAATTATGAACAAATCTCGACCCATGGAATGGCACCGTGAAACCTGTGGAGGTGTTGTTTACAATACAGACTGGTCACATGAAACTGGTAGTAGAGAGGAAATTCAGTCACAGCTTACTGAGATGCTGGAAAAACACTTAGATGGAAATAGTGCAACAGCTGGAAAAAGTTCACAAATTCAGGTAACTTAAAAAAAAAGCAAAACCCCAAACCAAAAATCCCCCCCGAACATTGATGTGTACAACTTTCGTTTTAACTTAAAGTTGCTCAGAACTTGTCCATACAAATGTTAATCCATATGCTTTTAACTTTTTTTATATTTTTTTTTTAATTTAGGTGTTTTTTTAGGAATCAAAAAATGAGCTTTCTAGCAGTGATTTAAAGATAAGCACTGCCAGGTGGGTCATGAATTGTTCTTGGTTTGGAACTCTACATGCTGGATAAGATTTTTGTCATGATTAGAAGATTATCAGTGTCTTAGCAGAACTGCTGGTGCTCAGATTGCTGCAGTGGTTTCTATGCTCAGGGGTAGGAAGGGACCTGGACAGTAAGAAGAGTGAGCTGAAGACTTGAGGCTGAACAAAGACCGAAGTGGATTTAGTCTGCAGTTGCAGATTGGCCAAGAACAACTCGAGTCTAAGTCAGCAGTGCTCCCATATGGCAAAGACGGGAAACCACATCCCGGGGCTGCGTTAGCAAGCGTGCAGCCAGCAGGTGGAGGGGAGTGTCGATTATTCTCACTTCGGTGCTGTTGAGGTTGCATCTGGAAAGATAACTCCAGCTGTGGGCCTGGTAGTGCAAGGGTGAGATTGGCAGATTGGGGAAAGCCCACTGGAGAGCCACGGCGTAGGGAGGGAGCTGGTGGGGACAGCTGAATGAACTGGTTTTGGTCAGCCTGGAGAAGGGGAGGTGGGGAACCTCCCTGCAGTTCTTGGCAATCTGGTGGTGGGTTGCAGAGAAGACAGAGTCAAATTCTTTGCGGAGATGAGTTTTGAGAGGGCAAGAGCCAGCAGTTAACAGTGGGGGGGATTGTAACTGGGCGTAAGAAAAAGTTTCTGACATAGAGAGTAGTACTGGTACCATCACATTTCTTTGGAGATTTAAAACAGGAAAAATAAATAAATAAACAACTCCCCAAACTATCTTGTTTATTATTATTATTTTAAAGGTCAATACAATTTGTCAAACAAGCTGCGAAGAACTGTGCATTAAGCTACTGTCATAAAGTACTGCAGAGAGCTATTGAAGCAGAATTGCAGGTTCTAAACATTCATTATCAGCTGTGCTATCAGCACTGTGTGAAGATTTACAGACTGGCTTTGGAGGAAAATGCATGTTTTAGCAGGCAAGTGCTTGAATATCCTTTTAAATTAAATTCATTGCTAAATGTCACTGATGCTTTCTATTCAGAGCTTGTAATAAGGTTTATAGTTAGCATTGTTGTCTGGAAGAGTTTACATTCTCATAACTGCCAAGGCTTATTTTCAGCCTCAATTTTTCTGTAGCATTCACAGACCCAGCAAAATAGTTTGTTGCAAGGAATGCCTGTCTGTATCGTAGGAAAAGTACAGAAGGAGTAGTACAGGGGATCCTTCCTGGATTGGGTGAGGTGGATGGAGAGGGGGCTGGGGAGGAGGGGGTAAAGGAGAAAGAGAGAAGAGGTACAGGACTGGTAAGAGGTGAGGCAGGAAGGGGCAGTAATTGCTGATAAAGCGTACGGCTACCTATAAAAACTCCTTGCCATAGGGCCTGCTCCATAGCTTAGGAGAGGGTTCAAAAGAGTGGGTTGTAATGCTGTGAAACAGAGCCTGGCTCTAGAGAGCTACTGTGCGGCTTAGGAGTGAGCTCGTGTCCTTGCGTGATGTGGGGCAGTCTTTAAACACTCTAAAACATTTGGGCAATTCTAGAGGCAGTAAAATAAATGAAATGTCTATGATAATCTTATTTTCATATGCATGTTTTAACAGATGTACCGGAAGTACTGAATTAGGTTCATCTCTCGAGTTGATTTTGGGAGAGCTAAGGAAGAGCTATGACAGTATGAGAATGAAAATAAAAATGGGCGTACCTTTAAATACACTTCCACCGCTGTCGGTTGAGATTAAGGTGTTCTCAATCTCTTTTTCTTATGTCCCCTCCAAGGTAATTTCTTAATTGATTTTTGGGTTTAATATAAATTGTTTTCTTCAGAAAATTAAAACAAATCTTTTCTTTTTTTGATAGTTGTTCAGAGAGGATCTTTGCTGTGAGTAAGTGAGTCCTCATCTATTGCATTCATTGAAGTTCAAAATAGTTGAGAAGCAAGTTTAAAAGATGTTAAACTTAGAATTTCTTTATTTCAAGATGTATTGTGTTGATCCAAACTGTTTAGCTGTAAGACTAGCATAGAGCTTTGAGTGGCTTTATTCTAAGAAAATTTTTACTCTATAGTGTTCTAATACGCAAACTGTGGAATTGTACTTTTACCATCTTTATAGCAAATGTTTTCAATTTGCAGGTAATTTCCCTGGTTCCCTACTTGCACCACTAAAATCTTTGTCTCTAATCTTGATGCAGTCTGTCTTAAACAAACAAACAAAACATGAGAAAAACACCAAAACAAAAAGACTTTGCTGCCCACAAAGAATCTTAGGCATGTAAGCAGCTGCTAAGTTCTGCTAAGACTATCATTCAGTTATGAAAAATTATAGGAAAATAACTGAATATTTCGGGCAGACATAGTACTGCATATTCAAGACCCATGTGCTAGTTACTTTACGTAAGTGGAGATTAAAGCAAATTTGGCAATAAGTGTTTATTGTATCAGGTAAACAACTAGAGATATTTTTCAAATTTATTGTTAAGTATTAATAAAGTGAATCAAAAATGAAACAGACATTTTAAATCATAAAGACATATCAAAACATCACACAGAAAGGTATCTAGATATAAAGGACAAACAGCCTAACATAAACCTGGAACACAGCATGAGTAAAATGTGCTTAGTAAACCTTAACTTAAAATGAAAACTGAAGTTATATTCCAGGTTGGAACCATTGCGTTTGTAAGATACAGGTATCAAAACCACTTCAGTTCTCATTTTAAGCTACGGTTTATTAAGCACATTTTATTTATATTACTGTGAGCTTTTGGAAGAAATTAGATTAATATTTTAGAGTACTCAGTATCATTGCAGAATTTAAAGTTGTGCCCTGTTTTGTATTAAATTCTTGGATCTGTTTTAGTTCTGGTTTAGGCACAAGAAAAGCTGACTTTGAAGCACCAACACTGCAAGAAAGGAAAATTTCTGTCAACATGGTAGGGATTTCTTCACTTCTGAGTTTCCTAGATATCGTGTTGTGAAGCGTAGTTTCTCTTAGGTGTGTGCAATACAATCACAGGCTTCAGGGCTCAAACCGGGATTCTTTGCCAGTAACTACAAATGCAGCTGATGCAAATAAAGTTTTCCTTGTCCTTTGAAAATAAAAGAGCAAGGGGCTTACTGAAGATAATCAGTAGGTTAACTTTAGGTTAACTTTTAAAAATTCACCTTTCACATTAGTTGATGCACTGAAGCTCAGAAAAATAATGAATAATCAGGTGCTATGACATAACTGAAACCTGTTTGTAGGACAACCCACAGGCCGTACATTTAACTGATAGCAGTCAGCCAAGTGGCTCCACTTCCTCCAAGACATCTAAAGAACAGCATAAAAATCAGGACATCGAATGTGGTGAGCAATCTGCTTCTAGTACGAATACTGCATTATTTGTTAGTTAAGTTGTTGGGGGAAAAACCTCCACAACCCTATGCAAAACCTACATATGGATAATGAACTGTGCTTTCTGTGGTAGAATGCTTAATGTTTTATCAGCTCCGTATTGTACTTTACATCTTTCAAAAAATATTTGCCACTTAAGTCAGAAGTGAGAACTAGTATGTGTCACCTCTTTGTGATATAGTACCAAGTCATGTAGATAGCTGGAATCCTCTTAGGCATGGAAATTTGATATTCATTCATATGACATATCATGGTCTGAATTTTAACACACTGAAATTTATTACAACTGTCAAGGCTCTGGAAGAAATGAAGAAGAGAGTGAGTCTTGGTTTGATGCTAAAGAGGACTTGACAGTAGCACATTTTTCAGTAACAGTTGAAGAAAACAAAAACCAACAAGAAAAACAAGACACGGTTGATTTAAGAGGTGAGATTGTGTGCTCTAAGCTGCCGTACCCAGTAACGGTGTTTGTTCTATTATATGACTATTCTATTCCTTGTATAAGAATAAGTAAACTTGGAAAATATGCTGGCTGGGTTTTCAAACTTATTTTACCATTGACTTGCAGTGAATCCTTGTATGAAATTCAGCTTTTTTCAACCACATTTTTCCTGGAAAACCTTACCTACACTTGTTAAACTCAATTTAACAAATGTCTAGCCAGTCACATAGCTGGAAATCTTTCTTATTTTTTCCTCTCTTTCTGCTTCCTTTCCCATACTGACTTAAGAGTTAGCTGAGAACGGTCTCTTTGCTGACTTGGGTCCCAGTGTGGTGAAGGCCGAGAGCTTGTGCGCTCGGCGGTGAGGACTCACGGTACTCGAGCTGTGCTTTAGCACCGCTACCTGTTAGTCGGGACCAGCATTTTCGCTGGTTGTACCCCTTCTCCCCTATTCAGGGAAAAGAGAGGTCACAAACTGAACTGTTCTTAGGCAGCTCATTTTCTGTTAGAAGAAACTCTTCAGTTTGGGGATTTTTAATTTTTTTTAAAGGTTTTCTATCTATGCTTTCCAAAATCTAGATGTAACCTTGAACTGAAACAAGAATAGTCAGTAACACTTGGCTTGCTTGTGTTTATTAGAAGAGAAGATGAAGGAGAGCGGAAATGAATGTTCTTTTACTGATGTCGGTGGCTCAAGTTCTGCAGTGTTGAAGGTAAGCTTGCTCTTATTTGCAGAGGAGTAGTAATGTCTTGCCTCTTTTCTGAATTCTTTCATACTAGACATTTGCAACCACATACGCTTCTCTTTTGTAGGGCGATTTAAGACCACGTTTTCAGAAGTATCGGATTTCTGACACTCTTACTTCTGTGGATTCTAGTAATGACAGGTATATTAACATAAATTTTACTTGTTTCGGGGTTTTTTTTCTGTCAAAGTAAGCAAATTGTGTGAGGGAGGAGGGAGTTGATCATTAATTTGTTTCAGCAATTAATGTAGAAGCAGATGGGTGACAAAAACATGTTATTCCTTATTCCAGACAGCTTCTCATCTTAAGTAAAGGAGTCTGAAGTTTTCTGTTGAATTTAATGGAGACACAGTTAATATTAAAAAATGAGAACCATAATGTGTTCTTACTGATAGTAATTTAATGTGTATTTTACTTTAGTTTCCTTTTTAAATTATTTTTAATTTTATGCTTTAGGTATGGTTTTCTTTCCTCTGAAGACACTAGTAAAGCAAAGTTAGCTGTAGAGGAAATGAACCAGAAAAAAATAAAAGGAAAAACAGTAAGTATTGAACTTGTAAATATTTCCTCAGAGAATAAATATTTGGTTTCTCAAGTACTTACAAATAAGCTTTGGCAGGAAATCCAACCTGTTGATAGCAGTCAAAGAAATCATCAAGATAAAACACTCACTTCAGCTTCCAATTTTGTGAAAGCACCTGACACCACCTCTGCTTCTCTGGGAATGCGTCTCCTTCCTGTAACTAAAATTTCTTGCTCCACATGAGCACCTTCAGAAACAGTGTCCTGGTCTGAGACTGTCTACTGAAGATTTATTACATTATTTGCTTGGAATTAATCAATACATTGCATGGTACTTTTAATATATATTAGAATGATGTTAGGGTAGGAAAACATGTTATGCGTAAGTAATAAATTTCTGGTATGCTGCGTAAGAGTGAGAGAACCATTTATTTGCGCCTGCACCAAATGTGATACTCCGTCTTTTTTTCTTAATCCTAAACCTGTTTGGAACCTTGCCATTTCCACTAGATTTTTTTTTTCATCTTGCTTTTTTCATGTGATTATCTTGTGATTTTAATGAGGAAGGATTTGGTAGGATACTGGAGGGGAAACTCTTGGATTTTTTAATAGAAATCTAAGAAATATCTCTGTATAAATACAGTATTTTATATTTGCTCCAGATGGTGCTTGGAGGATAGGGCAAAGTTAGTAATAGTTGGTATTGCTCTCAGAGTATATAGATACGCTGTGTTTGGGGATTCAACTTTAAACATGTTAATCCTCTGGGAAATACAAAACGGATCTAATTTAAAGTTGCAGGAATGTAAGTTATATATAAATGCATGTAGTAGTTTTATTTCTAATTTATAGATTGAGTAATATGACTGATTGTATTAGAGTAACTTAGTGATCCGAATCTGTCTCTTTTTTCCTTTTCCATAACTAGAATATTTGTTAGTAGTAAAAGTATCTTGTGTTACTTGTACAATACTTAACCTGTTCCCTTCTTGCCTGTTTTGATGCAATTTTAGGATACTGGAGAAAATTCCCTGCAGAAGACATCTACTCCTTTCTCTGCTAATTCATATGATGCCTTTATTTCTCTTAATAGGTGACCTTCAGCAGCTTTGCCAAATTAATGAAGAGACTTCAAGAAATTCATCCAGAGGCTAGCAAGTGAGAGTGTTTAGATTTCATATCTGCTCTGATTTGTAGTGGATCAGATATCCATCGTAACTAATTGCCGTGGTGTATTTTTGCCAATTGCTAAATGTATTGCGCCAAATGTGATGTAACCAGTTACTCCTTTTATTCATATAGAGACCAAATTGTGGATGCTCTGCTGGAAGTGAGGAAAAACAACGGAGGTGTCCTAAGTGGCTTGTCCATCAATTCTATTGTGGGAAGGACCTCTATAATTTTAAGGAAATCGGCCCCCACTTGTGGCTGGGAGAAAGAATCTAAATAAGTGAGTATTCTAGCCTGTTGAGATATAACCACATGAATTTGTGTAGCTACTGACCCTGACTGGATCAGTAAGTAACTTAGTATAAAGCTCTGCCAAAAGTACCTGTAAAAGTAAATCCACTGAAATAATGGTTTCTAAGGATTGTGAGGTGTTTTTCAGAAAATCCATAAACAGACTAGTTCCTCCTTAGCTCTATGCACTCTACAGACCTTGGTATACTGGAGTTTTTATTGTGCAAACTATTTTATTGATTAACTTAGCAGAGAACATTGTACATGTTCTGGGCAAAGGTGACACCTAGTGGCCAGTCCTCGTGTAGCAGTTCATAAAGAAATCCCAGCAATGTAGGCTCAACTTTTGGTTTAAAAATTGATGATTTCTGTCTGCTGTATGAGATCCAGGTCTGGGCTAGAAATGTAACAGAGTAAGACTGCACGTCTCTTAGTCTCTTCGTGATAGAGGATGTCTTGCATGATGACACGGTGGTTGTTTCTTTAAAATTTATCATTACCAAATGTCCACACTTGGAAGCTTGCTATGAAATTCATAATCTGCATAGTAAAAATTTAAAAACAAACCAGCGGAGAGGGGCCTTATTAAAGCATGACTAAAACAGTGCTTTGAGAAACATAAAGAAATGCATAGAGTCTACATACTCTTAAATGGTGATTTAGTAACTGAATTTTGAATTAATACAAAACATGACCACCAGACATGATTTGTTGCACAACGATTATATATTTTATTTTATTGTAGTAATTTTTTTCCCACGTGTTTCTTGAAGCTAAACACTTTTGTGTACTTCTGCAGTACATAATAAAATTATTAATAGCCTGTAGTGGTTTTCTGGGCTGTTAAAACTGCTAATGTGTTTGAGTGTGTACATGCCAAATTTACCTGCTGCTTTTTTGTTGTTGTTTTTTTAATTCTAACTAGGTGGTGTTCCGATTATGAAAACTTGATCATCTCCTTTTGGAAAATGTTTGCGAATTGTATATTTCATCTCGATTCAGGATTGTACTGTATTTCTTGTTTGATTTGTTTCAGCAGTTCTGAATGAAAATTCATGTAGCATCATTGCATTAATGTAAGCTGAGGGTCACTTTGCAGTGTTTTTCTGTTTATGCAGATCTTAACTAATTCTTCCCAGTTTTATTGTTCCTGTAGTTGTTCCAAGCATTTCAGCAGGTTTCTCTCAGGTGGAAAGTTTACACTTCAGTGAAGCAAGACTTCTCTAATACCAGCAGAGCTTTTCTAGGCTGAAGTACGCAACCTTGCTCTTGCGTGCCACTTGATTTTAGGCATGGTGGTAGCTGCTAAGATGTTGTTAAATAGCCAGCACGCTTGTGCTTTCCAGATAATCTGATTCTGAATAGTCTGTAGAAATTCCACATATCCTTTGAAAACCAGGGAGGCGTGGGGGAGGGCTTCATTTTAGAAAACCAGGCTTCGGAGCTGGCAGCGCTGGTGGACGCTGTTATATAATCCCACGCTGCAGCAGAGTCCTCTCCTGTCCATTTTGACTCAGCAGCGTGCTGCGAACTGCAGAGTGGTGATATGGCCAAATATTTCCTTCAGGATGAAGGCTAGAATTAATTTTTTTTTCCTGTTTTTTTTCAAAACATGACATTTTGTTGTTTTATATTCCCTTTCTGTTGCTCTAAACAGAGGACAGGCTTCTAAACCCATTTTTCTGTCCTGTGGCCTGGTATAGTGGGAAGCACACACTGCTGAAGACTTTTGGTTTGGGTTGTTACATGGGGGAGGAGGAAAGCTGGGAGTATCCAGTCCCTGTGTTCACATGTGTTGTTCCTGTACAGAAGAGGTCTAGGTTTTAAATCCTCTTCTGGTAAACAAAGAGAAGGCAGCTTAGGTGTACGTGTCTGGTCAGTATGTATGGGAGTGAGGAGAATTACCCTTGTTGGACGCAGACAGACTCATGCCGTGATATTGCATAACAATACTGTACATCGCTGTTGTACTCTGTTCTAGATCCTCTCTGCGTTTGCTGCTGAAAATAGCAGCCCTGCTTACCTGTGAATAAAGATTCAGTTTCCTTCTTCAAAAAGTTGTGCCAGTGCTTTTCTGTGTTCAGATCTCATCCGTTCCCTCTCCTCTCAGCAGAACCACTGTAGGTGACACTTTCAGAGCCCCAGCCTTGTCTCTGACAGCCAGTACTGTAAACTTAGTGCTGAAACTGGAGGTGAAGCTTCAGCTTTGGTTCCTATCAAGATGGAAGCAGCCACAGGCTTTACCACATTATTAATATTAAATAGTGCCCTTTGTGAATCAAGCAGATGTTAATAGTTTGGGATAGAACTGGCTTTCTGGCATGCAAGCTGATTTTGTTTCTGTTGGGGAAAGAGAAACAGGCACAACAGGAAACGCTCAGGGTAGCACACCATGGCTTTCCTTCAGGATTTGTTACTTAAAATCGGGAGCAATGATTTCCCTGCAGCTGGAAACCTCACCCACTGGAGAGACATGCACCTAATGACATATCCTAAATGTGCTGCTGAAAAGCCCGAGCAGGCACTCGTAACATTCAGGCAAGGCAAAAAAAATCACTTACCAGCTGTAGGTGGAGCTGTACTAGCTCAGTAACGATTTTCAGCTCGGTAGGAAGGGGAAAAAAAAAAATCCAACCCACAAAACATTTATTTTTCCTCCTAAGATTGCATTACATCCTCTATGTTCATATTCGCATGTCCCGGGGAACTGAGCGGGGCAGCGACGGACTCGGCGGGGAGGATCCCTCCCGGCGGTCGGGCTGGCTGAGCGACGACAGCGATGGCCCTTCTCCCACGGCGATTCCTCTGCTTCATGCTGGGTAAGGGAACATCTTTAGATCCTGGAGGGGGGAATAAAACTTCCCCATGT